TTTTTTTTTTTTTTTTTTAAGGAGTTTTATGGTTTCAGGTCTCAGTTTATTCTTGTGTTTGGTGAAGGAAAGTAATTCAATTTCATTCTTTTGCATGCAGCTGTCCAGTTTTCCCAGCACTCTTTATTGAAAAGACTATCTTTTCCTCATTGTATATTCTTGCCTCCTTTGTCACAGATTAATTGAGCATATAAACATGGGTTTATTTCCTGGCTCTCTTTCCTGTACTTTTGATCAAAGTGTGTACTTTCTGTGCCAGTATATTATTCTTTTGATTACTGTAGCTTTCTAGTGTATGTTAAAATCTGAGGTTGTGATGCCTCCAGCTTTGTTTTTCTTTCTCAAGGTTGCTTTAGCTACTCAGGGCCTTTTGTGGTTCCATACAGATTTTGGGATTATTCAAGTTATGTGAAAAATATGTGCATTTAATTTAACTGTGTCTTAGTTACCTTGTCCATGTCATGGATGATTTAAATCAGGTTTTTTGGAAGACCCCCACTTTTAAAGTCCAGTGAACCTGTAACTGTTGGTTCAGTGCTTTTTTCACTATATCATGCTAGTTCAAATTTTCACTCCGTCTTAGCATATCATTTCTGACAGGCAATGTCACTGAATTCTATGACTCAACCACACACAGCATATGATCTTTTGTTGAATCTATATATATGTATATGTATATATATAGTTTTTATAATATATTTTATTAAGATATTAAGCTTTTTATTAAGATATAAGTCACAGAGCATGCAATTTACCTATTAACAAATGTACAGCTCAGTGGTTTTTAGTAAATTCAGAGTTGTACAACTATCACAACAGTCTGTTTTAGAATATTTTTAGCACCTCACAAAAAGAAACTCTATACCCACTAGCAATCAGTCACTTTCCTTTCTTTCCCCCACCTCCACCTCAGCCCTAGGCACCACTAATCTAATTTCTGTCTCTTTAGATTTGCCTATTGTATATATCCCATTTCATATAAATGGAATCATACAATATATGGTCTTTTGTGGCTGGCTTCTTTCCTTAGTATGTTTTCAGGGTTCGTTCATGCTATAGCATGTGTCAGTACTTTATTCCTTTTTATAGCCAAATAGCATTGTATGACTATACCAAATTTATTGGTTGGTGGACATTTCAGTAGTTTTGGCTATTATGGCTATTATGAATAATGCAAATATGAACATTCACTTGTACATTTTTGTGTGGACAGATGTTTTCTTTCTTTTTTTTTT